AATTTTAAATCTTCTAAGTTCCTGTGTATAATTACTTTTTCAACAAATGTTGTATTTAGCTCTGTTTTGCACTGAATCAACAACGGGGTTTTGCTATAAAATACAATCTAGAAAGAGAAGCACCTGAACATGATGGTCTTGAATGCCTCCTGTCATTTTTTGATGTTCTGGTGGACAAGTAGTCTTTTACTGCAGTGCACTTGCGGTGGGGTGCTGTGGCTGCATGTGAGGTGAATAGAAGCGTATTGCTGGGTAAATTCTGTAGCTGTTGCTTGGGCCTGGGGCGACAAGTAAAGGGGTTGCCTTGATGAAAGTGTGTGCTGGCTGGCAGAGCTGATCCTTGTGTGTGCTGTGCAGATGAAGAAGGGCAACACCATCCAGCAGTTCCTGCAGAAGGCCCTGGAGATCCTGAGGAAGGACTTCAGCGAGCTCAGGTACAGTAGTGGGAGGGGACCAGGAGGGAGAAGCTCGGGGTGTCACTGAGCATCAGCTGTGAGAGGCTTTCTGTGCCACAAGCCTGCAGTTCCTTAGATGGACATCACTAAGAGGAGAGGCAAATGGCCAGATATGTACTGGGTTATGTGCCTGTTCTAAAATAACTGTCATGTCTGGGTGGTGTTTTTAAGGTTTTAAACTGTATGAGCTGTATTTCCCCCTTGGGGATGAATAAATGTATCGTAATGATGTAGCAAAGATGGATGTGATTCACAGTGGCCTGGAGGCTCCTGTAGGATTTGACCTGCTGTAGGCTAGTTACAGTGAGAGCAGCTGTCTGTCTGGAGAGGCCTTCTCCAGTCTTCGAAACAGCAAGAGCTCCACTGTGAACATGCTCCCTGTTGCAGGTCTGCTGGTGTGGAGCAGCTCATGTACATCAAGGAAGACCTGATCATCCCACACGTGAGTTTCCCCACCCCCACACCCTGCGCTGAGCCCACTGGGGTCACCTCGCCTCTTTGTCACCTTGTAACTGGAAAAAAACCAATTGTTCTGTTTCATTTCAGCACCACAGCTTTTACGATTTCATTGTGACAAAAGCTAGAGGCAAAAGCGGTGAGTGTTGTTGTCTTCTCTTGTGGTAACTTCACAAAGTACAGCCTTAGACCACAGGGACGGGTTTGTCTCCATCTCTTCAGTCTACATGACCTAAATTAGGAATTTATTCTGCTAACACATTTGATGGACTAACCCTCCCACCTGCTAATGTTAGTCAGAAAATATCTAATTACTGTATAGTGTGCTTGGAATTATTTCTGATATGACCAGAGTGGCTTATTTTCAACAGTATTGCTGGCCATGCTTAAATCCAAGGTCTTTCATGAGACTGCTGTATCAATCTCCATGGGAAAAGAAATAGTTAGGTCACAAAACCCGAAGAAACCAGACCCCCATGTGCTAGTGTGAGGAGGAATGAACTTAACCCCCATTTCTCCATAACACGTCTGTTTTCCTTCTGAGCTAGTCTCCAGGTTTGATAGAATCAGGTGAATAGAAAGATAGCAGTCCATCCCTTCCGGGTTGCTAAGCCCATGTCTTTCAAGAAAGGAAGAAAAACCGAAATGCCTTCCCAAGAGCTGCAGGAGCTGGGAAACGAGAGGATTGTCCAGATCTGTCTCAAGACAGCTGCCGATCCCTCTGCTCTGAACAGACTGTAATCTGCTGCCGTGTTTGTCTGCAGGTCCCCTGTTTAACTTCGATGTGCATGAAGACGTCCGGTTGCTGAGCGATGCCACTGTTGAGAAAGATGAGGTGTGTTCCCAGCATTTGACTCTGGCATCAGTAACCCTGTGTTGCAGTGTAACGATGGCTTTCAGAAACCGCATGATTTAAAATCGACATGTGGCTGTTCTTCACACTGGCCTCTTACTGCCTGTGCTTGGGATGTGTGTGTCTTGGCTGTGGTCCCTTTATTCCTGTCATCTGTGTGTCGGCGTGGCCTTGAGTAAATATCATTTGCTTCTGCACTCTTCAAGACATCGTTTTGCGGGTGTGTTTAACTGGGATTTGAGTGGGAAGAGGCAAAGACGTGGGAGCATCGAGTCCTGATCAAGGTGATGGGGAAAGGTCAGCACTTCCGAGTGCACAAAAGTGGGAGCAGTTCGGAAGAGTTCAGGCATGGACGGCTCTTTGTCAAAGCTGATTCCCAAGTTCCTGCCGTCCTTCGGGAACAACGCCCAGCTTACAAGGTCTTGTGAGGATAGAGACTGATATTCCCCTCAATCGCGTCGTTGGGAGTCGCGCGCAGAAGCTGCATGGAAACGAGCAGAACTGCTGCTTTGCTAGACGGCTTGACCAGACTCTCGTCTTCAGAACTGCAACCCCCTTTCCCCACTCAGAGTTGTTTTGTTGCACCTCCCTTTCCACACGAGTGCACGTGTCCCCGGAAGTCCCGGTCCTGGTTCTCGGGGGGCCACGTGCTCATGGCGCCGTCTCCCCCCTTGTGTCCCCCCTCAGTCTCACGCTGGCAAGGTGGTGCTGAGGAGCTGGTACGAGAAGAACAAGCACATCTTCCCCGCCAGCCGCTGGGAGCCCTACGACCCCGAGAAGAAGTGGGACAAGTACACGGTGAGTGCCGCACCCCCTCGCTCTGTCCTCAGGGGTCCCCCCTGCCCGGTCCTCCCGGGAGGAGGCCCAAGGTAGCAAAGCATAGCGCCTTTTCCGAATCGGAGCCACCCTGCACAGCAGTCGTGAGTCGTGTGCGGGTTGCGCGGATTTCCAGCGTGAGGCCGGCACCGCCCGTCGCTGTCCGCTGGCGTTACTGCCTTGCGCTGATCCGCCAGCTCCCGCCGTACCGCGGGCAGGCCCCAGGCCCAGCTCCACAGCTGCTGCGCGAGGATCAAGAGGTGTCCGCTCTGGAATTTTCTCTGGAAAG